CAATATTTTGCAATAAAGAGATGAAATATTATTTTCTATTAACTATGTTAGTACTTTGAGAAAGGACATATTTACATTATTTTCAAAATCGATAATTGCTGCTTCTCTACCAGGATAAAGTCGTGTGCCAAAGGTGAATCTATATCGGGATTTTATCGAACAACTTTGTGATAGATGAGTGGATTAGCTGAACGTTTATATAGCACACTGAACAACTTTTTTTTCCCCTAAGCATAGAGGCTACAGAGGCTCTAAATGGTCTCAGACAGGATCTAAGCCCTTGAAAATGTATCGGTTCAGTCGTCTGCTGGACAGAATTGCATGACGGTCGTTTAATCCCAGTGCAATTTCCTTTGAGTACCCAAAAGGATTGCCTGCTGCCCACTAGACACTATTTACATAATAACTGTCATAGCATATACCATATCTCCTCTACGTATAAGAGAAGTATAGTAATTGAATGAGTCTGCACGACAAAAAATTGCTCACTGACATACAATGAGCACGGGCTTTGTTGAATGCAGAGATTTGATATATTATATAACTGTTTCAACGGCGACCATATAGTTTTCGGATAAAAGAACAAACAATTTCCTGTACGAATTTGAAATTATTTCAACTTGTAATCTTTCCGTTATCAAATGTGTAACCTCAGAAATCATTTATTTATATAAATTTCATACGTGTTATATTTCGAACGTATTTAAATTATTCTGAGAATAAATTGTTGCTTGTGCTTACAAAGCCAAACTGTTTGCACATTCTACTAGGATACAATTAGGTGTGATAGCTGAATGATTATTGGACAGCATAAAACATTTTGTATCCGATCACAGAATGCAAAACATCCTCTGGGATTTTCATTTCATCACTACAACTAATGATGTGGTCAAACCGCATCATTAGAACAGGATTTCCGGGGATTCCAGATGTTTAAATTTATTATTCATGAGTGTTACAATCATCCGTCAGTAAACACCATTTAATTTGGTATCCAAATACTGACTTGACGGTATTCAGTAGATCCAAAATAGCAAAAATCGGCTTTAGTGATTGTTTTTAATTATAAAATAATTATGAATCCCAAATAAAAGTTTGCAAACGATATTCGTTTTGGAAAAAGAAAGCAAACGATTTACTATCTCTATTGATTTTTTAAAACATTTTTACAACAATTAAAAATATCTGATATTTATCGGTGCTCTTGATACGAATGTACGGTTATTTGGTTTATTTTGGCCTAAGATCAGTTGGCTAACGTTTAATACTTAAATGTTGCATTATCTGTTTTTGTTTGTTTTGTGTTTTCTTTAAAAATTCTTTTTCTAACGTAAGTAGTAATATGTGCCACTTGAGGACTAAACGGGAACTAGCATTACCCCATATATTTACATATGCACCACTCGAGTTAAGCAGGAAATTATATACTAAACTTGTTCATAGGTTTAACATTGACGGCAAATGGTAAAATTGCTAGCATTGGTTGCATGGTAATATTGGTAGAGCTGACCTTAAAATATGGCGAGTTGGAGTCAATGACGATTGAGAGTCTAACGGAAAACCAAGTTACAATTATCCATAGGTTTAACGTGGATGATGATTGAAAGCCAAACAGTAATTTTAACTAGAAAATTGCATCGGCCGTTTCAATGTTGAAGAAAATGTCTAAAGCCACATGGGAAATTCATTGTTAACATTTCTTGATATATAATCCAACTCACAACTCTTTTATGCAAACAAAATGGTGGATGTGTTGTTGCACACTCTGTACCATAAGACAAAGGTACTATACAATCCCACACTGACAGAAGTACTTACTGTACTCGCTAAATTACTTGCATACAAACATACTAACCAACGAAAAATATCGCAGTGTTGTTTCATATTCGATAATTACATGCATAAAAAACATACTATACCATAAGAGCCAGATGTTTAAAGACGTACGATTTGCTTACATACAGGAATAATATCACAAAAAGGTAGGAGTGTTTAAACATGTTCCTTGCTTATATACATTCAAAACTGCTACCTAACAAAAACCTTAGGATTATTTATATACACACACACAAACAAACAAACACACACACACTATTATCGACAACGGGATGGGGTGGTATGCTAAAATTAAAGAGGATGAAATATATACTACCTTCACATACGAGCGAAGTTTAATTTTTGTATGGCACTGATCCCCAACATCGCTGAGAAATGCAATGTTAAAATTTTGAGGATTACTATCGGACACTGCTTATTATACCATCAACACGCCCCATGTAGTGATCAACATCTAGTCGCTTAATCTTCAACATACCGTTTGTACCGACCAACACACAGTCGTCTACTATCCAAAAACCCATATTATACTATACACACACCAATACCACACTTATATTATCAAAAACGCCAGTCAAAACTGCTTATCTTGAATTTTAGATGTGTTCGACCAGTTGGCTATGTACACCTAATTAAAGGTGAATGGCATGCGTACTAATCAGTC